TATATATTCTATAACAATTTTTGAGTAATATCTATTGACTATACGTTCACATTTGATAATAAATTTTAGAGTCAAAAGCAACAAGTTAGTTATGAGTGCGACTATTAAATCATGGCTCACATGTTGAACATTATATCTGCTACTGTTGTTGGTTCATGGACACATGTAAGTAATAGAATATTTTTAGCAAGTTGTATCAATTAATTAAAAAAAATTATGTTGATATATTAATTTAATTTTATGTCAACGTTTATTTATTTAGATATTTCAGGATTCAAATCCATTACAAAAAGAAGAAGTTAAAAATGTTCAAGAACTTTGTGCAAACATGATATTGGAACATATTGAATTAAGTGTAGAATATGATATAAATTAGGTGTAATTCTGTGTTGGATGTTGGTTGTTGGCTGTTCAGAAGATGATATGATTTTTTCAGGCCAATCTTTAAGGTTTCTTATTTTGATGATGTTTTGATAAGTACGTACTTGGTGCTTTAGAATTAACATGCACGTGTTTGTTTGTTTGTGTATTAGTATTATTAATATAAGTAATTGTGTTTATAAATTGCTGGTTTATTTTATTTGGTAATTAGGGGTTTTACTGTGATTTGTGTTGTGTGATTTTTTTTGGGTGTAATTTGTTGATTGAGTTGGATAGTCTGATTTGGAGGTAAATTGTTAAATGGGAAAGCTGCATCTGATTTGTGTGATTATCCAAAAAAAAAGCCAACAACTTCTTAGGTCGGTTAGTTATACCTGATTTAAGAAAGTAAGTTCTTAGGTCGGGTATAAGGCTAGACTTATTAAGTCAGGTTCTGTCTAACCGACCTAATAATAGTTTGTTAAGTCAGGTCCACAACCGACTTAAGAAGTCAAAACTTCTTATGTCGGTAAGTCTTAGATCGGGCTCGGACCCGACTTAAAAAGTCATTTTAACTGACTTAAAAAGCCTTTTTTCCACTAGTGACCTCTCGAATTTCAAGTCATACCATGAGAACATGTTTTAGGTAGCTAATCCAAAACAACCATTAAGAACCTAGAATCGTAAATTTTAAAGCTTAAGTAGAATTAAATCAAACGCCATGAGTGTAATTAATACATGAGTATAAAGATGATTACACCTAACCCCCATAAAAAAAGAATTAGCTACGCTTACTCAATGTAGTTATACAATTAAATTCTAGAAGAAAAAGCTTGAACAACATCTACAAAAATTCCTCGAGCAATGCTTCCGCCTTCGACCTCTCTTTCCTTATTCTCTAACATTGAGAATTAAGGTGAACCTACTTTTTTTCTATACTACTTTGAATCCACTGAAACTCTATTTGAATTGAACATGACACTCTTATTTATAGGCTTGAGAAAGGTACGCACTCTAGGAGTACCACCAGTCTTTGCCTAGCAGAGATACTTTATTCCTTCCCTTTCACTTGGTTTGGTTAATGTGCAACTAAAAAGTCAAAACCAGTATTTTTTTTTATCACTTTTCATTGATAAATCGGGAGCTTTTCTATTGATTTCTTGTAAAATAAATTAATAAGTGCCTGCATATTTTAAGTAATTTTGACACTTATCAATGTGATATATCTTAATAACCAATGTAGGACTTGATTTTTTCCAACAATACTCGAACATTTTAAAATGTGTTAAGTCATCTGCTATCAGACTTTCGTTATTGTGTCACCTACCATTTATTTCAATGTTCTAGATATTCAGTTCTCGGCGTGAGGGGGTGTGTTAAGAGTCTCAAATAAAATATATATGACTTGAACATGTGCCTATAAGTGAGAGCAATCCTCATTCTACAAGTCAATTTTGTAAAGTTGAATTAAACCAAACTCTAATTTTATCATGGTTTCATAAGCCTATCAATTAGCGTCACCACTATTTATATGCACACCAAGCCCAATATTATTGAGGACAAGGGGTCCATTTAAAAAATTAAGTCTCATATATTGATAATATGAGTCACTCATCGTGTATATCCACACACCAAACACAATAATATTGGGTGTGATGAGAATGTATTGAAAAAAACTTAAATTACATATTTGTTAAACATAAAATCTACAAAAGGTTTATATAAACACCTTATAAGTCAGTTTTATAAAAATAAGTTAAACTAAATTAATTTAATCGATAAAAACTAATATATGATTTAATAAAGGAAGTAGAGAACTCAATTGGATTAGCCTAGTAATAATTACTACTAGGTAGTTTATTATATCTTAATTATAAATAATAAAATATGTTAGAGAATGATTCTAGCCTTGTTACTCTATAGATCCTGAACTAGTAATGAGAATACATGTGAAAATGATAAATAAACAATAAAAGTAAAGATTATAATAGGAAGTTATTCCTTAAACAATGTTAGTAGAATCGAAAAAAGAAAGAAAAATGATTGTTTAAAATGTTGCAATTTAGGTTTGTGGGGTTAACCAAAAGAAAAAAGAGCAAGACTTTAATTTAGAGTAAGAAAAAGGTGATGTTTGGTGAAGGCTAAGATGAGACCAATTGAGTGGTACAAGTGGAAGAGATGGCACGATATAGAAAACTCAATAAATGTTATTGGACCCCCCATCAGCACGCTTGACACCCTCCCTTCCATCAAGTGTCATCATCATTCCACGCTCATGAATCATTTCTTCCAATCCTTTCCATTATTTGCACTAGCGCATTCACATCACGGGTACATATACTACATTTCCTCTACCTTCTCTTAGGTCTAATGCTTGAAAAGTCTCATCAAATACAACCTGAAAAAATTAGTAACGTTATACGGAACGTAACACCTGACACGATATTTTTATTGACACATTACTCATAAATCTGATACGAAATTCATATTGAAACGTCGTAGATATAAAAAATTGTATGTATTTATCAGTGTTGATACATGTTGAACACGCATTTGATCCAAAATATATGTGGTACGACTTATAAGTGGTTTATAAGTAGAGATATTTATTAGGAGGGAAGCTGTTAAAATGAGTTAGTTCACGTTGATCGGCCAGTCATGTTAGAAAAATTATAGAGTTTGTGCTTTAAAATTAAAATTTATATTTTTCAGGATTTTTTTTAACACCATTCTAAAAAGTCCGTTATCCATTACGATTAATTAACCCGTATGAACTGTGGATAACTCATTAGTCTCATATCGCTATAAATTTTAAAAAATTATATTAATATTTATATTATCTTAATTCATAATAACATATTGACTTTTTTCACCTCACTAAATTTTATCTCTATTTTATTCAATTTTTCTCTTTTAAATATTGTATATTAATTTAATCAACGTTTTTTTCTTGTATTCTGTTAATTTTTCTTATATTAAATATTTGAGTATTATTTTATATTATTTAAATATGTATTGTATTTAAAAACACATTATAGTATTTATAAAAGGTAATATATTTAAAAATATGTTATGTTTAAAATAATATAATTTTTAATTTTATTTATAATAAATATTATGGTATTTTAATTTTAATTTTTTATTAAAAAATAACTCGTTTAGGGCCGGATAGCCCGAAGCCCATTTAAAATCGAGTTCGAATATTAACTTTTTGAGCCAATATTAAGAATAGGTTTTTTTGGCTCAGTCCTAAAAAAAACTATAACCCATCAAAATCGGTCCGATTAAGATCGAATAATCTATTTTGACAACTTTAATTAAAAGTGTGCAAAAATATAATTAAGCCAACTATATAATCAAACTAAATTGTATTGAAACAAAACTTAAGCAATTTAAACAGTTAATAAATTTAATCATATATTATAAAAACTTATGCTACTAAACTTAAATTAAAAACTACTTTAAATCTTTAACTATTATTTTTTTTAAATACTGTTCAAATTATTTTTAAGAAAATAATATTTATTTTAAGTAAAAAATTCAAAAATAATACATGAAAATAATTCAATAATTTCCAAAAAAAACAAGAATTTCAGATATAAAATACATATGTTATTCCGAAAATAATTTTTTTTCTTAACAAAAAAAGAGAAAAAACCACTTCTTTATATATTTATTTTATTTCTAAATAAAAAAATTGATACAAAAAGAGTGTAAAATATAAAACTGATTTATAGATACAAACTTACCTTAAATTAGTTTATAATACAAATTAATTCTAAATTAATTCTAAATTAATTCTAAATTAAATTAAAATTATTTTAATAGTTAAATATATTTTTATTAAAATCATTATTATACATTAAACCGAACCATTAATATGATTTGGTTCACTGTAATTCGTGAATCACGAATATTTCTAAATAAATATTTTTCAAGTCAATTTTATAAATATTGAGTTAGGTTTAATCTAAATTAATGATATCAAAGGATATTCAATAACCATTGAGTCATCCAATATCTGAGTCAATGGTATCAAACCATTTGAATCATGTTTTAGATGCTCCATTCTAAACAAGAAGAGTGACTGTTAAATGTCACACATGAAATTTCTTTATAAATAATAATCATTACAGGTCAAATCAATTTTTATAAGTGTAGGAAATAGGTCTGACATTTCACATTATAATTTAGATAAATTATCAACTAAAAATCTATTTAAGTCATTCAATAAAAATAAGACGACTTACCAGAGAGTCTGATATACTGAAAACTCGAAATTTCAACCCTCCGGACTTGATCAATGGTTGACATTATTGACTATTTCCTTTTTTTTTACTTTTGGTCATTGAATTTGATTGTGACACCTGTGCTTTACTAAAAGAAGCATCCCTTTTGATAGAGCACAATGTGTGAGTTTTTAGATAAAGCAAAGATTTCCATCAAACATAACAAGTACTTTGTTTTAGCCTTTTTCATTTCCTTGATCTAGTGTGTGTACTAATGCTACCCTAACCTTTCTCATCTATCAACATTCCTTTTGATGTACCCATTTTCTCTCATGAAAATAATTTCCAACTCTTTCCTTTTCAAGTTATGACACATACATTCTCTTGATTTTTTTCTTCTTATCTTATCTCATGGACTTGTTTATCACTCTTATTTTACTGACATTTTCCATCATGTCATTGAAGTTTCATGGATCTGATTCTCAAAGTATCAAATCATCTCATGTTCTTGATCTCCTCATAAGAGATCACACATTCAGTTCATTAGACAAAAACTTCAAGACAGGAATACCACAATCAGTGAAACTACCTCCAAATTTATCAGGCATCAAAGTCGATACTGTGAGGTTTAGATGTGGAAGTTTAACAAGGTATGGTGCAAAACTAAAAGAGTTTCATCTTGGTATTGGTGTTACCATTCATCCATGTATTGAAAGAGTAATGTTGATAAGACAAAGCATAGAGTATAATAATTGGTCTTCTATATATTATGCTAACTATAAAGATCTATCTAAGTATCAACTTGTTTCTCCGATTGTTGGAATTCTGGCTTACAATGCCGACGAAGATTCGAATTCTAGTAGTAATCCTTTTCAACTTGGAATTGAAGCCGGTGAAAATCTCATCACAGTTGATTTCAACAATGCTACAAATTTCAACCACAAAGAAGGAAATGGTATCAAAGTGAATCCCTTATGTGCAAGTTTTGAAGGAAATGGAAAACTGACGCTTGCGAAAACAAAACCTTTGGCAACACTTGTTTGTGTTGCTAAAATGCATGGACATTTTGGTTTGGTGGTTGAGTCTTTACAACAAGAAGATGATGATTTTACAAAGCCTATAAGACTAAGTCGATGGAAAGTTGCGGTAGGGAGTACTATCGGTGCTGCTTTAGGTGCTTTTCTTCTAGGTTTGCTTCTTGTTGCAATGCTTGTTAGGGTTAAGAAAAGGTCGAGAATGGTTCAAATGGAGAGAAGGGCTTATGAAGAAGAAGCTCTTCAGGTTTCAATGGTTGGACATGTGAGAGCTCCCACGGCACCCGGAACTAGAACAACACCAACACTAGAGCAACATGACTATATAACTCAGCGCGCTCGTTGATAAGGTTTCTTACATGTTTGGATTGACGTTGAATTTGACAGAGATATATAGCGAACCACTTCATTGTGCTGCTAATTAATCAGTTTTGTAAAATTAAAGATCACATTCAATTCAATGAAATTGTATTATTAGTTCGTCAGTTTATTGTAAAAATATTTATACATTTTCGATATTCTTTAAAAGTGAATAAGTGAGATGTTGCAGATTCTAATCTACGCATTTATAATCTGATATCTATGCACAGCTACCAACTGAACTAGCTTGATTTCGCATGTCACTTAGTGTGTCAGAAGCAATTATACAAGTGTGTTGCTTGAAGCCGCAGAATTGGACTGTTGTGCAGATCAGAAGTCAAAAGAAGCCAATATTAAAAGAAGCTAACATAAGCATGCAGTGCAAAACAATATGATAATACTAGAGTTATATAATTGTGAGAACTGATAAGTGCTTTTGACTATGTGACAAACAACTGTTGTACAAAATAATTATGAGTACATCGCACAACAAACATAAGTACAAAGTCACTAGAGTTTGCTCGTTGAAGACATGATTGACAACATAAAACATAGAATTTTGGATATCACAATATAGAACAAAATGTATAGTACAATTTTGAGCCAAATCACAAAGGAGAAACAAAATTCACTACTACAAGTTTTTGGTGGTTGCTTCAAAGACACTATATATGGCTTTGTGATGGTGAATATTATTGTATCCATGAGGATTGTGTTAACTTCATGCAAAGATAGAGTGAGTGTGCTTGTATTGTAGGCTTGGGAGTTGTAATCGTAAATGTAATCCCCTAGCATTGCAACAGAAAAAAGTTTTAATGGCATGTAAATAATTAAATTATTTTACAAGAATATGGTTGTTCAAAAAATTGATTACTTAATAACCCGTTTCACGGGTGCACCCTCGCCCACATGTCTATTAGGATTAATCCTTTTTTTAAGGGGCATTTTAAATTTGGTCATTTGTTAACCATCCTCGCCCACATGTCTATTAGGATTAATCCTTTTTTTTAAGAGGCATTTTAAACTTGGCCATTTGTTAACCATTTTAAGAAACATTACCATAAGAGTTAATGTATGAAATACTTCTAGAGCGTCTTATATATATATATATATATATATATATATATATATATATATATATATATATATATATATATATATATATATATATATATATATATATATATATATATATATGGTAAAAAAATTTAGATCTGTTTTGAAATTAACGAAGAAAATCTGATTTAACTGAGTGTGGATACGAGAAAAACCTGGTTTTCTATTACAGATGCAAGGGTGGAGAATGCTACCCGTCCTGGTCTATTGAAATTTACTTTAATACCTTCATTTTAATTATTTTATTATACATTTACTAGAGTTGTTTTAATCTTTAAAAACAAGTTTATTAGAGTTATTTTACACTTTAAAAATATGTTTATTATTAATATGATTAAGTATTTAATTAAATTATTAATTTTTATTGTTATGAAAAAATATGTATTTTATGAAAAATAGTTTTTGCGGGAGGGGGCGGGGTGGGGGCGTGGAAATTAGTTCCCCGTTGGGGGCGAGTTTGGGTGGTAATTATTTATCCCCGATTGGATTTGGGGGCGAGGGCGGATCTGTTACAGGGAGACGGGTGCGGGTGAGGAGCTGGTTAAACCCGCCTCCGACCCGTCTCATTGCCATGTCTACATGGATGGTTGAATTCTTAATGACTATGATTCAATTTCTTTAGCTCTCTTAGAGGACATTGATTAACTTCACTCACTACTACGGATTACATATATTACCATGGTTGGGAGAAAGATTCAATTGTGGACGGTGATCTGTGGTAAAGTAATGTTTGGTTGTATGTGGTCTGTTTACCACCACGAACTATTAGTCGTGGTAAAAACATATTAGCGATTAACATACTGGTATGGTTCTATAAAATAACCAGGGTAAAATGTTGAGGTAATGAGTTCGATTTCCAGCGCCTGAATTTTTGCAGATTTTAAAATGTTTCACCACGGTGCTAGATTCTAACCGTGGTGAAAGACTTAGTGCACAATATTTCACCACGGTCCTAGATTCTAGATGTGGTGATATGCTTACTTGAGTTTATTATAAGTTACGTGGAATACTTATTTCACCAACGACTCACTAAACATATAACCTTTCAATCTAATTTGGAAAACAATAATAAAACAAATTAAACTATATTAGAAGAACAAGTTACACTAATCAATATTCTATGAGTGTCTTACAACCCATTATCCACATTTTGCTCTTTAACAATTTGAGTTTGTTTAAATGATTCTAATTCTTCTGCTAACATTTCCTTCACCTCTAGTTCATTTTCCAAAATATTCTTTACTTTGCAGAAAAAATTAGAGGCGAAGGAAGTGATAGTTGAAGAACTAGAATAATTGAATTAAGTTCTAACAGTTAAAGAGGAAGATACAGATAATAGGCTATAAAAAGTTCGTAAACCATTGATAAATGTAAGTTTTTTTTAATATAACTTAATATCTCCTATTATAATTTTTTAATTTCTTTCAAAATTATATATATATATATATATATATATATATATATATATATATATATATATATATATATATATATATATATATATATATATATATATATATATATATATATATATATATATATATATATATATATATATATATATATATATATATATATATATATAAAGTAAGAAGTTAGAAGACATGATTGACAACATAAAACATAGAATTTTGGATATCACAATATAGAACAAAATGTATAGTACAATTTTGAGCCAAATCACAAAGGAGAAACAAAATTCACTACTACAAGTTTTTGGTGGTTGCTTCAAAGACACTATATATGGCTTTGTGATGGTGAATATATTATTGTATCCATGAGGATTGTGTTAACTTCATGCGAAGATAGAGTGAGTGTGCTTGTATTGTAGGCTTGGGAGTTGTAATCGTAAATGTAATCCCCTAGCATTGCAACAGAAAAAAGTTTTAATGGCATGTAAATAATTAGACTATTTTACAAGAATATGGTTGTTCAAAAAATTGAGTACTTAATAACCCGTTTCAGGGGTGCATCCTCCCCCACATGTCTATTAGGATTAAACCTTTTTTTAAGGGGCATTTTAAATTTGATCATTTGTTAACCATTTTAAAAAACATTATCTGATACAGATACAATATCTAGTGGTGGAATTAGTAATGAGCAGTCCACTGTTTTGCAGCCCAACACTGTTGAAGTTAGGCCCACCCGTACCAAGAGGATTCCTTCAAAATACAAGGACCACTTCCTTTATTAATGAATATTATAGTTGCATTTTATTCCCTTATTTCTAGTATGTTTCTAGAAGGTTGTGACTCAACCAAGTTTGTTAGGATTTGCTTAGCTGTGAGATCTCTCACTAGATTCTCTATTTTGCAATTCCTTTATATGCTGTACTTTTGCTATTGAAGCAGGAGATGGAATGAAATTCTGTTAAGAAAAAAACTCTCTTCTCTCTCTTTATACTTGCTTGAGGAGGTTTGCTCAGTCCTTAAAACTGAGCCCTATCATTTGGTGTTTTCATTGTGTTTAATTCATCCTTCTTCCATGGCTCCACCACCAAATCCCATCGCTGATCTCACTCGCCAAATCGCCACACTCACCACTCAGCTTGATGTTATGCGTAAACGCTTCGACGATTCCGACGGTTCTCGTTCCAGCACCGATTCGCAACACCATCCCCGTCTCAAACTTGATGTCCCTCGCTTTGATGGTACTGATACACATGGGTGGATTTTAAATATTTCTCAGTTTTTCACCAATCATCACACTCCAGATGAGGAACGCATCACCATTGCTTCCTTTTATCTTGATGGTCCGGCGTTGTCGTGGTACCAGTGGATGTACCAGAATCGCCAGATCACGTCGTGGGATCAATTTCTGGAGAAGTTGGCGATTCGTTTCGCTCCAACGGCATTTGATGATCCTCGTGGCAATTTGTTCAAGCTCACCCAATCGTCGTCCGTGACGGCGTATCTCTCCGAGTTTGAAGCTCTTGCTAACCGTCTTGAGGGTTTATCTGAGGCTGATTTACTCAGTTGTTTCATTTCTGGGTTGAAGATTGAGGTTCGCCGTGAAGTGTTGGCTCACCAACCAAAGACTATTGCTCAGGCCGTCGGTCTCGCACGGTTACAGGAGGATAAATTGCAGGACATTGCTTGTTCTTCTCGTTCACGGCTATCACCACCACCGTGGCATTCTCCGTCTGGTTCTCGTCCTTCACCAAAACCTAATTCCGACCCTCCCTCCACGGCGAAGTCTTCTCAAGGCTTACTTCCGACCCCACCTGCTAAGCCTCGATTTTGGCATCTTTCTGGGGCGGAAATGGATGATCGACTTAGCAAAGGGTTATGTTTCAACTGTGACCAACCTTGGTCTAAGCAACATAAATGTGGTGCCCGTGTTTTTTTGATGGTGGCTAATGATGATGATTTTTCTTCTGTGACAGGTGATTTAGAAGTAGCGGTGGCTGACTTGGCTGACAGCGGCGTCACGACGGAGGACACCTCGATTCCCGCCGTTCAATTAAGCTTGCACGCTCTTTCTGGCGACCAAGCTGCTGACACCTTTCGACTTTCGGGTCGAATCTCTTTGGAACCAGTGGATGTTCTTGTTGATGGGGGCAGTACCCATAATTTCATTAAAGAGACTATCGCTGCAGCTTTGGGCCTGAAGCTGCGCCGAATCGATCCATTCAGGGTTTTGGTAGGTAGTGGCCAAGAATTGTTGTGTTCTCACATTTGCCAGGGGGTGTCAATAGTAATACAAGGCCACTCCTTCTTCATGGACCTATTTGTCTTAGGTTTGCAGGGTGCTGATGTAGTGCTGGGAGCCCAATGGTTGAAAAAGCTTGGTCCAGTTTTAATGAATTATAATTCACTTACTATGACCTTTTTTCACAACAATGCTTGTGTTGAGTTAAAAGGCGATTCA